GGCCGGAATGAGCAAAGGTACGTTTGGAGAAGAAGGGGCACAGAATTTAATGAAAAGAACCTCTGTCCAACTGTTAAGCATGTGGTTGGATCAATCATGCTTTGGGGTTGTGTTGCAGCCAGTGGCACAGGGAACATCTCACGAGTAGAAGGAAAAATGGATTCAATAAAATTTCAGCAAATTTTGGATGGTAACTTGATGCCATCTGTGAAAAAGCTGAAGTTAAAGAGAGGATGGCTTCTACAAATGGATAATGATCCTAAACACACCTCGAAATCCACGGGGGATTACATCAAGAGGCGTAAACTGAAGGTTTTGCCATGGCCTTCACAATCTCCTGACCTCAACATAACTGAAAATCTATGGATAGACCTTAAAAGAGCAGTGCGTGACAGACAAATAAATAATTGGTTGTGTCGCGCTCCACCTCCTAAAAATGTTTAAAGTATTTTAACCATGCATTTCATGCACTACTGTGTTAAATAATAAATGATATAAATAAGTGTTATTCCATGATTATATATAAAAAAAAAAATATAAAATAAAATGCAAATAAAAACTTCTGTGCTATAATGAATTATTAAACCATATCTTTTAAAAATAATAATGTAAGAAACTTTAATAACTATAGAGTGCTGTATCGCTGATATTAGATAAACCCACCATTTAAAGTGACATACAGTTGTGACCAAAATTATTCAACCCCCACTGAAATTGAGTGTTTTGGCCAGTTTGACATTGCTTTTGATCATTCAGTCATCTTGCTTACATTTACATTAAAGAGGCACTTGTAGGTCAGACAAATATAACATAACAGTTATAATGAAATAACCACAAATGTCTTTTCTGTGCTCACAGCATTATCAGTTTTATTCAACCCCCAAGTGACATTCAATCTTAGTACTTAGTACAGCATCCTTTTACAGTTATAACAGCTTTTAAACGTGAAGCATAGCTTGACACAAGTGTCTTGCAGCGATCTACGGGTATCTTCGCCCATTCTTCATGGGCAAAGGCCTCCAGTTCAGTCACATTCTTAGGCTTGCGCACTGCAACTGCTTTCTTTAAGTCCCACCAGAGGTTCTCAATCGGATTTAAGTCTGGTGACTGCGATGGCCACTCCAAAATGTTCCAGCCTTTCCTCTGCAACCATGCTCTAGTGGACTTGGAGGTATGCTTGGGATCATTGTCCTGTTGAAAGGTCCAACGTCTCCCAAGCCTCAGGTGTGTGACGGACTGCATCACGTTTCCATCCAATATCTCCTGGTACTGAAGAGAATTCATGGTACCTTGCACACGCTGAAGCTTCCCTGTACCTGCAGAAGCAAAAACAGCCCCAAAGCATGATTGACCCTCCACCATGCTTCACAGTAGGCAAGGTGTTCTTTTCATCATAGGCCTTGTTCTTCCTCCTCCAAACATAGCGTTGATCCATGGGCCCAAACAGTTCTAATTTTGTTTCATCAGTCCACAGAACACTATCCCACAACTTTTGTGGTTTGTCCACATGGCTTTTGGCATACTGCAGTCGACTCTTCTTATTCTTTGGAGACAGCAAGGGGGTACGCCTGGGAGTTCTGGCACGGAGGCCTTCATTACGCAGTGTGCGTCTTATTGTCTGGGCTGAAACTTCTGTACCCACATCTGACAAATCTTTTCTCAGTTCCTCAGCAGTCACACGGGGACTTCTCTCCACTCTACGCTTCAGGTAGCGCACAGCAGTCGAAGTCAGCATCTTCTTTCTGCCACGACCAGGTAGCGTTTCAACAGTGCCCTTTGCCTTGAATTTGCGAATGATGCTTCCTAAGGTGTCTCTTGGTATGTTTAACATCTTTGCAATCTTCTTATAGCCATTGCCCTTCCTGTGAAGAGAAATCACCTCTTCTCTTGTCTTCCTGGACCATTCTCTTGCCTTCACCATGTTTGTAACCACACCAGTAAATGTCTAGAAGGAGCTGAGTATCACAGTCATTTTAAAGCTGCCTAATTGGTGCTTATTATGCTTGATTGCTGCTCGGTGACATCCACAGGTGTTTTCAATACCTGATGGAAAGCACCTGTATGAACCTCTGTTCTTCAGAGTGGTAGTCTTTAAGGGGTTGAATAATTGTGGCAATGAAGAAACCACATAAGAACCATTTACTACTGTATTACATAAACAATTGATGTCATTTTAGTTGCATTTGGGTAGTTACAACGTCCTTGTAGGATTTGATTCTGAATACAATTCCAAATGTACACTATAGTCCCTAAACCCCTTTACAGCATTGGGGGTTGAATAATTTTGGTCACAACTGTATATGTGCAAAACGCAATGTGTATGTGCAAAAGATGCTAAATAAATAAATAATAATAAATAATAGATAATATTAAATGAGCATAAAGATGCATGTGAAATATGATATTAAGTGACAAGTGATTAATAATAAATAATCAATAACAATTCTATATAATCTGACAGTGCAAATGATATTGTATGTGCACCTCAGCTTGTATAACCCAAAGTTCTAAATGGGGCTATGTATTTATTGTCCTTAGCTAGACACAATGCGAATGTCCCAATTACGACCTTTATATATTGTGAACAATATATATATTTTGCTGGTAAGGTGGTAATATTACTGTCCTTCCACTGGGTGGCCTCCCAGATACTTCTGAGCTGTAAGGGCTAGGTGGATAGATGCGGATATCCCTCTCGTTCTGGAGGGGTCAGACTCCTATCTCCTCTTCTCCCCTTTTGCTCCTCCAGTTTATGCCATGTAAAAGAAGAATTCTCACATAGTGCTTTATCTCTCAAATAAGACTTTAATGTGTCTCCGATAAAATGCGCACTTACATTCTTTAAAACAATACAAAGCGTGTTTCAAATGTGTGCCCGTGCACAAAAACAGTACTCGCCGTTCCGCTGACTGATGGCGTTGTGACGTCAGAGCCCCTCCCCTACGCGTTACGCCACAGGGTCACGTGGCTTCCTCGGGATTCAATAGGATGCCATAACGCTACTAACTTTATATAGGGTATTCCGGCGCCATTTTCTCGAAGTCCGCATGGAAGCGGCCATTTCAATGGGGCCAGATATAACTTTATACATATGCAATGTGTTCCCAGATTAAATACATTGCTCATATTATTTGCATAGGGCTTATTAGAGAGCACCCTTACATTACTCTGACTTAACACCATTAGTACTGTGACCTGAGCTAGGCACCATTGAATACAATTTTTTTAAAATGTACAAAGCCTCCAGTGCCTGACAGACAGCCCAGAAATCTCAAAGAACTGGAAGACTTTTGTAAGGAAGAATGGGCAAAGATACCTCAAACAAGAATTGAAAGACTCTTGGCTGGCTACAAAAAACGTTTACAAGCTGTGACACTTGCCAAAGGGGGCAGTACAAGATATTAACTCTGCAGGGTGCCCAAACTTTTGCAGACGCCATTTTTTTGGTTTTCTGTTATTTTGAAAGTGTAAATGATGGAAATAAAATCTAACTTTTGTTGACATATTATAAGAATGTCTAATCTGTAATTTGATGCTTTTTGGAGATTTTTCCATCTTTCCTTGGCTTCTTTATGCACATTAATACACATTTGTAGCTGGGGTGCCCAAACGTTCGATCCCAACTATATATATATATATATATATATATATATATATATAATATATAATATATAAAATTATAAATACAGTTTCCCCCTTTTTCAGTGATCACATACCTCTGTTCTCAACTGCATAAGAGCCTCGGGGAGGAGAAAAAGCAGTACAATCGTTTTCCCAGTAAAAGGCTATGGGGGGGGGGGGGGGGGGGGGGGGTTGTTGTCAGATCATTGGTGGAGAGCAGGCTCAGCACAGCTATAAAACTGACCATGCTGTGCTTTCCTGCCTAGAGTGATCAGGGATTTCACTCAAAGGAAGCAATACATAGAAAACAGGTTACTTTTTTTCATACAAGTACTTGGTACAGCAGGGACATATCAGGAATATGATAAGTTAGGTTTACATATTCTTTAAAGAGAATTAAAACAATCAAAAAAATGGTTGTGAGCACCTCTGGGAGTGTTATAGTTTGCCCCACTAATATTTTTTTTGGACAGCTTAGTCTGCATGCAATTGTGGAAAAAACTATATATACACACATCTGAAATATAGTATTTATTACAGAAATTCATTTCTTAATCAAATGTATACATCTACCGCATATGTCAGAATATAATGTTCTTTGTGACAACAGGCTGTAATTATATCCCTCTGTGGCCACATGCATATTACACTAAAATAAACATATGTAGACACGTGCTGACGTGTTTCTTTTGGATGCAACTGAAATGCATGCGTGTTCAAAAGAGGTGAGAATATTCTCAAGAGAAAAAAAAACTCACTTTTATTGTACACAATTTTACCTTGACTAAAACATTATATATTTTTCTCGTTTGTAAAATTCATTGGTATAAACCGTAAACATACCTTGTCAGTTGGCTCAATATCAATTTCTATTTCTTTCCCGGTCAATGTCTGCAATTTAAGATCAAAAAGATCATTAGGCACAAAGTAAATTGTATTAAAACAAAGACTTTAAAAAAAAATTTTTTTTTTATCCAGAGAAATCTAGTTTTCTTTGATTCACTATATGAAGTTTCTAATTTATTATCAGCTTTAAAAGAGCTTAAACTGACTATACACTAGTAGAATTTGTGTTGTTTTAACCACCTCCCATCTGGCCCTTGTATATAAAAACGGCCCGACGGTGGCAGTGCAGGGTCGGGTGGCTGTTTATAAACGTCCTCACCGCCCACTGCTTGTGCGCGCTCCCTGGGAGCGCGCAGCACCGCGATCAGGTGCTCACTGTGTCCTCCGGTGGAACACCAGTGGAACACCGATCGTCAGACGGGACCTCTCTGCGAGATCCCGATCATATGATCACTGATTGGCCAATCAGTGATCACATGCAGAGTAGTAAGCAAGATGTCAATTCTGACATCATTGCTTACTACGTGTGAAATCTGTAAATGATCACAGAGGTCACATGGTACAAGGCTATTCACAACAGCTTTGTACCATGTGACAAGCTGTGACCAATCACAGCTCTCACAGTATTTCTCAATGGCTGCAAGAATGCAGCCAGAGAGAAGGAGAAATGATTGCTTTTACAGCCTTCATGGGTGTAAAAGCAATCGGTGTAAAAAAAAAAAAAATCTTCATCACCCCCCCACAAGTAGTACAGTGTCACCATGGTGACACTGTACTACTAGGGTGACAGTATGTAAAAAACAAATATAAAAAAAAAATTTTTTTGTTTAAAAAATTATAATTTTTGGTTATAAACTAATTTGGGTTTTTTTTTTTTTTACTAAAAAGATAACGGAATAAATTTTGGCCAAGATTTATGATGAAATATTATTTGCAAAATTTTATAAGAAAAACACTTTTTTTTCAAAATGTTTGGACTTTTTCATTTACATCCCAGTGGTGAATAAATACCACCAAAATAATGCTTTATCTGTCTCAAAAATTGCTAAAAAATCAATATGGGTACAGTGTTGCATGACCGCGCAATTGTCATTCAAAGTGTGATTGCGCTGAAAGCTGAAAATTGGCCTGGACAGGAAGGGGGTAAAAGTGTCTGGATTGGAAGTGGTTAACCATTTGCCGCCCGGCCTATAGCCGTTTGGCGGCTGCAAAAATGCATTAGCTTTGTGGGGTGTACGCCATTTGGCGTCCTCCCGCACATGCGCAGTTCGCGCGGTTGCAGAGCCAATCACAGCAGGTCACATGACCGTTGTATACAATGGATGGCTTCATTCATGCCATTCATTGTATACTAGTGTCTAGCTGTGAATGGTCACAGCAGGTCACATGCACATGTCATGTGATTAGCTGTGGCCAAATCACAGCTAAGCACAAAAAAAAAAAAAACCCTGAATGAATCGATTTCATTCAGGTAACTGCTTGCTTATAGCAAAGTAATTCTTTGCTATAAGCAAATTGTGTAAAAAAAAAAAAAAAAAAATACTGATCACTTCCCCAAAGTAGTACAATGTTACTATGGTAACATTGTACTACTTTGGTCATAGTAAAATATGAAAAAAAAATCTTAAAAAAAGTAATAAAAAATTAAAAAAAAAAAAAAAAAAAAAAATATATATATATATATATATTTTTTTTTTTTTTTTTTTTTCCCCATACTGTCACCAGTCAGTGTCCCTGTTCACCGCCATGCCAGTTTATGATGATGCTGTACTGCACTGGTGGCAGTATGTAAAAAAAAAAAAAAAAAAAATAGTGAACATAATTTTTTTAATTTTTTAATTTTCCAAAAAATGACAAAAAAAAAAATACAATTTCAAAAAACTCGCCATTCCTCTTATGAAGTACGTCGGACTGTCTACTTTACAAAAAGTGGTAATTTGGGGGATATCTGTACTGTTCTGACATTCTTGGACCTCAAGAAATTAGATTGGCTGTCAGTACTTCAGGATTGATCAATATTCAGATCTATACCATAGATTGTGAACTCTATAACTTTCCTACAAACTAAATAATACATCCTAATTTGGGTTATTTTCACCAAAGACATGTAGCAGAATACATCTCGGCCTAAATTTATGAAGAACAACAATTATTTATTTGTAAACTTTTATAACAGAAACAAAGAAAAACGTGGGTTTTTTTTTTTCAAAATTTTTGGTCTTTTTTTGTTAATTTAGCAAAAAAAATAAAAACCCCAGTGGTGATTAAATACCACCAAAAGAAAGCTCTAGTTGTGTGAAGAAAATGATAAAATTTTAGTTTGGGTACAATGTTGTATGATCGCGCAATTGTCATTCAAAGTGTGAGAGCGCTGAAACCTGAAAAATGGCCTGGGCAGGAAGGTGTAAAATTGTCGGTATTGAATTGGTTAAGAATGTTCATTTGATTTTCGAAGAGTTAGTGGGGTTAATTCAACCTTTGTTTTCAACCACAGTGATTGCAAAATTCAAATGAGCAGGGTGGAAACTTTTTCTCAAATAAACAAGTCTCTAGCAGTGAATGTGTTTTTTTTTTTCCGGAAATTAAATTAATTACAAACCTAAATGTAAAAAAACAAGTGACATTTTGCAGTATCATCAAAAAACATTCATTTGTATGAAAATTCTTTGTACATTCAGCTATATTCAAGTTTTGCTATACTGTACTTACTGTATTAGCATAACTGTGTACAATGTGAAAAGCATCATGAAAGGGCACAAGATAGACAAGAGAACCAAATCAGGAATACTTTCAGACTCAAAGATTGCCTACAGCTGATAAGGGTATAAAAATGTCGCACTGTATCAAGTACTAACACTACCAGTTGGTAGTGAATTTCCCATACATGGAAAACAATTGCATACATAAGGCACATCGTATTTCAGATAGGGATCTTACAGTGTAAGCTTCTTGAAGGCAGGGACTGACAGTATATAAAGCGATGCCTAAATTATCAGAGCCAAATACATGTCTGTAATAAAAAATAAACGTGGCTGGCACCCGGCGATCACCCAGTATCACCGACAGAGGACAGACCTGTGTATAAACAACACTGATCTCTCCCCTGTCAGCTCTTGCACATTGCTTTGTATGGCTCTGCATAGCAGTGCCATACAAAGCAGTGTGTTTACAGTGTAAAGCACACACACAGCACACAGTTAAATAACCCATTCTTGCCCAGTGCCATTAGTACAGTGTCAGTGCTTTTTATTAGCACTGATCACTGTATTGGTGTCACTGGGGATTTCAGTGACCCCAAGTCTGTTCCCCCCAGTGTCAGAATGCCCGCCGCATTCCCGCTATAAGTCGCTGATCGACGCCATTACTAGCAAAAAAAAAAAAAAAATTCCAATGTATATACAGCCATTTGTAAATGCTATAACTTCCACATAAACCAATTAATTTACATGTATTTGAATTTGCAAAGACATGTAGCAGAAAACATTTTTGCCTAAATTTATGACAAAATTTTTTTTTTTTTTTTTTTTTTATTGGAGATGTTCAATAGCAAAAGTTAAAAATATTTTTTTTCAAAACTGTCCATTTTTTGTTTATAGCGCAAAAAATAAAAACCGCAGACACGATCAAACACAACCAAAAGAAAGCTCTATTTGTGGGGAAAAAAAGGACATAAATTTCATTTAGTTGCAGCATTGCATGACCACGCAATTGTTAGTTAAAGTAACGCAGTGTCGTATCGCAAAAAATGGCCTGGAAGGGGGTAAATCCTTTGGAGGGCAAGTGGTTAAAAGCAAGTACAGCGTTTTATTGATACATCTGTTGGAGATTTAGTTTGGAAGCTTTATTGATACATCAATTAGAGAATTAGTTTGGATAGCGAATGCATATAATGCTGCACCACGTTTATGTGTAATATTGGCACAATTGCCCTGCGGGGATATAGGAGATTCATAGGAGTTTAAGTAAAGGAGCTCAAGAATAAAATAAACCTGGAGCACAGATGTTTATTATCTATACCGTGTAGTATGTACCATGTAAATGAGGCCATACACGCCTTGACAAACATGGATTGCATTCCATCGAAAAGTTGGATATAATAAACATTTTGTGTTTGAACATTTTCTACTGATTTAAAGTGGAATCCCATCAATTTAACAGTTTCCCAAACAGTTACATTCAAGGCATGCTGTGAAGGACAATTTTAACAGCAATTTATGCATTCGACTGAACTGTCAAGCCATGAAGCAGCTGGTGCCATAGCTGATCACTTGTGCAGCATTATGGCAACTGCAAATCAAACAGAGGCTAAGATGGCAGCCTTCTGAGCTTTAAAGGAAAGAAGAGTTTAGTTCTGCTTCAGAACCTGCAAGTGCCTCAACAACTATAGGCGTATCTGTTCATTTCATTCATACCTGGGTAAATCTTCACAGAACAGTGTGTAATGACTACCACCCAGTAATATACCATATGTAGCCTCTTGTTCTAAACAGGGGCTACTAGTCTAAACTTTGGTTTTGGCTGGGAAGTAAGTCAGCCCAGACTAATTGTGTAGTTTTTCCATTCGTTCACAAGGGGAGACTGAATCCAGACCACTGCTGCATTGTAGCCCAGGCAGCAGGACGCAATTTCCAGTCACCATGGTGACCTGGGATTTGTCAAGCATTTCTGTACATGATCTGCATGGTATCTGGTACCCCTAAACTTTACCTTCTTATTTGTTCTACAATAAAACTTTAAAAAGACAAAAGTGACTGGTGACCAATGTTTTGTCTCAGTCCCACATTTTAGTCATCGACTCAGCCCTTGGGTGAAATGCTCCTCCTGCCTCTGGAGGGGTGCTACCCATATAAAAAAAAAAAAAAAAAAAAAAATATGAACAAATGATTGTGACCAACAACAAACGCTCCACTTCTGTAACACACTTTTCCTAGCACATTTGCATTGCAATAAGTAAACTGTTCTTGAATGGAAACCACGTTCACATTTAGAACTTGGTTCGTTCAGATGAGAAAAATTTTCCATCCTTCGATTTTTCTTGTCACTATGATGGAAAACAATTGAATTGTCCCCATTAGAAATGCGAAGGAACGTTTTGTCACACATTTTGAGATGCAATGGGGGAAATTAACAAAGAATTGTGCAAGCACTAATCTTTAAGTTTAGAACACGAAGAAGATGCTGCTCTTAAATAAAAGTGACGCAAGCCACTTTGTTATTTAGGACCAATCAGTTCTCTGCTCTGTAGCTGGGACAGGCACAGCACAGAGAATGGAGAGCTGGAGCTACATGCTCAGATCTCACAGTTATCCCCATCACCCTCACAGCAGAGGGAGGAGGGTTGTTACAGGATAAGTTTCTTTAAAAAAATAATAAATACATTTTTTTTGCAACAAAAAAATATTATTATTAAATTATTTTTTTTAAAACAAAAAAAAATAGTGCCTTTACTATTTTTTTTTGTAAGCGCCTGGAAAGCATTGTACCCCACAATGAGCAGGGCTCCTGCAGACTGTCAGTGTAAGTTGTTTGCTACAGGCAGGCAATTACACAATGGCAGGAAGAATCAATTAACTACCTAGAGCGCTCAACAGCACCATAGTAGTTCATTGAGAACTACAAGTTGTCAGTCAAAGGCTG